AGTATTTTTTCCTTCCCTCCTCTACTACCAGATCTCTCCTCTTTCTTTCTTTCTTTTCTTTCTTTTTTTCTTTTTTTTGGTTTTTCAAGACAGGGTTTCTCTGTATAGCCCTCCTCACTCTGTAGACCAGGCTGGCCTCGAACTCAGAAATCCACCTGTCTCTGCCTCCCAAGTGCTGGGATTAAAGGCGTGTGCCACCACCACCCGGTGATGCCATTGTTTTTAATAGCCAAGTAATACTCCATTGTGTAAATCTACCACATTTTCTTTATGCATTCTTTGGTTGAGGGACATCTAGGTTGTTTCCAGTCTCTGGCTGCTATAAATAATGCTGCTATGAACATAGTTAAGCAAGATAGAAGAGAAGGTAGGGAATAGCTTCCCAACATACTGGCCTAGGAAGCAATTTGTTAAGCAGAGCACCAATAATGCAGGCACTAAGATCAACAATTAATAAATAGGACCTCATAAAACTGAAAAGCTTCTGTAAGGCAAAGGATACTGTCAGTAGAACAAAAAGACAGCCTACAGAAAAAGATTTTCACTAACCCCACATCTGATATGCAAAATATATAAAGAACTCAATATATAAAGAATCATCAACAGACTAAATAATCCAATTAAAAAATGTGGTACAGATCCAAACAGAATTCTCAACAGAGGAATCTCTCATGGCTGAGAAACACTTAAAAGTGTTCAACGTCCTTAGCCATTAGGAAAATGCAAATCAGAGTCTCTGAGAGTCCATCTTACACCTGTCAGAATGGGTAACATAAAAAACACAGGTGACAGCTGCTGGCAAGGATGTGGAGCAGAGGGGATCACTCCATGCTGGTAGGAGTGAAACTTATGTAGCCACTTTGGAAGTCAATGTGGCGGTTTCTACCTCAAGACCCAGCTATACCACTCCTGGGCATATACTCAAATGCTGCTACCTCCCATCATAAGATGGACATTTTATTGGTAGTCTGGGAAGTGTGACGTGTTTTCTCTCCCTTCTCATACATGAAGCTCTAGCCACTCTGGAAGAGCAGAAACAAACCAGTAACTGGCAGCAGCATGCAGTGAATAGAGACACAAAATGTTGAGCTCTGAGGTTGGTGTTCTCTTGTCCTGTGTGATGTCCAGGGCCAAGGAAGAGAATGCATAGTGCAGGGGTCCCCTGCTGCAGGCAAGACCTCCATTCTGTGTGGTGGGAGATGAGTGTGCTGGCTCCATGCTCTCAGTCCCAGTTGGTCAGGGCATGATTTGGTAGAGCTGCACACTGAGATGTGTGGCGCACACTCGAGCCACTGCATAGCTTGCCAAACCTAGGTGGCTACCCATGAGCTTTTTGTATTTCCTTAGCAGTTTCTAGATGAGCTGTTTCTAGACTACATTTGGAAGTTGAACTGCCGTTCTCACATTCGCACTGTAGCTGTAAAATGATGAGTCAAATAGTTCCATACATGAAGAAAAAGGTGAAAGCTTTCACTGATAATATGCTCCAGACATTTTCATACCAACATTAGAGAGTGATTTCTGTAAACTGCTTCTGTGCAGTTCAAGACAATGTAAAGATTGTTTTGTTTCACTTTGTAGCCCTGGCTCTTCTGGAACTTACTCTAGAATTTTACTTAAAGATGAACTTACTGTGGTAATAGGTCATCAGTTCATATGGTTCAAGCAGTTTTGCATTCCAAGGCAGGTAACAGTCACCTCCTTCCACTCCATCCTTCATTCCCTTCTCTTAGGCAGTCAGCTCTATCAGTTTCTCAACTCTTGTCAGTTTTCCATGTACAAGGAAAATGTACAAATACCACTCCCCCACACATTCTATAAGTGGAGTGGCATACAACTTATAAAATGTTTATTACAGCCCTATTCATGACGGCCAAGGTAGTAGCAGTCAGCCTTTGTGCCTATTGACCAAAGAATGGTAGTGATGATGTAATGTACATACACAGCGATGGCCTGGTACACTAATGAACCCCAGTTGTCAAGGACAGAGGCCAGATGCCTTGGGCTACCCCTCCTGAGCTTGTTTTCCCATCTACAGATACAGAGTCCAAATTCTGGCTTTGGTATTTTATTTCAGGTAACAAGTCATTATACAGTTTGAGTGGCTCTTCCATTATATTGACAGAGTTGGAAAATTCTTGGTCAAAGGTGATAAGTTTTTGCTGTGAGGACCACAAGGCTGAGGCCTGAAGTGACCTGGAGGCTTGTGCTTATGTGATGTCTGATTGAGGGTGGGCTGTGAGGTCTCTGTCCACCTCCAGGGTCTCCAGAGCAGAGACTGAACCTCTTTGTAGTAGGCCGATTGGCACTTTGGCCCTCTGTCTCAAGAAAAGGTTGAGTTTTTCTCAAGGTCAGTGACTCTGAGGCAGCCATGCTGCCTACTTTGATGAACACTGGTTTAAATTTTACATGGGAGGTATGGTGTATAACCTAGAACATTCTGCCACCTTTTATGTTTTCTGCATACATAGAACATGGAGCTGCAGTCTCCCTCATTCGTGTTTCTGGTTATCTCAGCTTTCTTGGGTTAAGGATCATCTTCAGATAACAAAGAGCTGCTCTTCTCCCTAAACACCACACACCTGCAGGGATCTCCCTGAGATTCCTAGGCTCGCTGCCATTCTTGATTCTAAGAGAAGCCCCATGAAGCCCTGATGCCCAGCTGCAGCCCCTGTCTGCTGTCTGGGGGGAGGCACAGATCCTCTGCAGAGCTATATGTCTTACTTCTGTGTTGAGCATCTGAATAAGAATGAAGAGAGTTCTTGGGTCCTCATTAGTTTCCAGGGTTCATGTTCGTCCTTTCCTTTAATGGAGAACATTTATGTTCCACAGTCCTCTGTTTCCAACTCCTTGGGCTACACTTGGATTAATTATCTATCCCCCCACCTTTTTTTTTTTTATATATATATATAAGAATTGTATAGACCTGTATATATTATAAGGATGATCAACAAATTAGTATTTTGAATTATTTATTTATTTATTTATTTATTTTTGTTTTTTCGAGACAGGGTTTCTCTGTGTAGCCCTGGCTGTCCTGGAACTCATTCTGTAGACCAGGCTGGCCTTGAATTCACAGAGATCCTCCTACTTTCTAAGTGCTAGGATTAAAGGCATGTGCCACCACCACCTGGCTTAATTTTGAGTTTTCTTTACATGTTGTTTCTTAATTAAATCGAAGAATAATTGAGTAGACCCTTGACTCACCAAGTACTTTCTCTGCTTCCAAAGTTGTTTACTTCTCTCCCTTATATGCATGGGGACTAAGGGAGAAAAGGGCACTGTGCATGCGGTAATTATAACGTGGCAGTCAGCGGGCAACTCGGAGACCTTTTCACCTTTTCCCATGAGAGTAACCAAAATGCTATGATTACATGAGGACAGAACTATTCTCAAGGGTGGTGGATAGTTTAATTAATTAATGAAGTCTACAAACTTACTTTGTTCATCTCTCTTCTGGTGTATGTTTCAAATTTGAAAAAAAGGACTAGGACTTAATTTTTTTAAATGTAAATTTCTATTTGATTTGACTATATAATAATAGTGGTGGTAGTAGTAGTAGTAGTTGTTGTTGTTGTTTTAGAAATAGCCCTGGCTATCCTGGAACTTGCTGTGTAGACCAGGCTGGCCTTGAACTTAGAGATCTGCCTCTCTCTGCTCCCAGAGCTCTGGAATTAAAAGGTGTGTGCTGTCACTGCTCAAAGATCAGAATTATTTTTAAATTAAGTTTAGAGGCTAAATTATTGCAGAGGCACTTTCATGTAAATCTGCCTATGGCATTTTTATGTTCTAAGAATGTAAAATTTTTCTGGTGTCTTAGGACTTTATTGCTATGAAGAGACACCATGATCAAGACAACTCTTAGTTGTCTTAGAGACAAGAGACAAGAGAACATTTAATTGGGACTGGCTTACAGTTCACAGGTTAGGTCTGTAACTATAATGGCAGAAAGCATGGTAGCATGCAGGCAGATGTGGGGCTGGAGCAGGAGCTGAGAGTTCTGTATCTTGATCTGCAGGCAGCAAGGAGGAGACTGAGCCGCACTGGGCACAGTTTAAGCTTATTAGACCTCAAAGCCCAGCCCCTCAGTGATACACTTCATCCAGCCAGGCTACACCTCCTAGTAGTGCCATTCTGTAAGGACCAAACATTCAAACACATGACTCTATGGGGGGGTTCAAACCCATTCAAATCACCACACCCAGGATTCTGCTGAGAATGGAGAAGACACTTATTCAAAAATATTACATGTGTGATTGGGTATGTGGAGGTCAGAGAACATTCTGTGGAAGTTGGCTCTCATGTGGCCCCAGGATTAGAACTCAGGCCATCAGGCTTGACAGCAAGTGTCTTTAACCGCTGCACTATCCTGCTGGCCCTGTTTGTTTTCATTTAGATTTCAGGACTGTGAAGTGGACAGTGGAAAACAAAGACTTAGTACATTTAATAGACATAGAGTCCCACAGAGCACAAGACATGATAAACTGTCTCCCTTGAAACTGGGAGTAAGTCAGTAGGTAGATGGCAGCACCAGTGTCTCTGTGGGCTGGTCTCCTTAGTCTTACCTTGGGTGTCTCTGTGTAATTATAATGTGGCAGTCAGCGGTCAACCCAGAGACCTTTTGACCTTTTTTCATGAGAGTAACCAAAATGTTATGATTACATGAGGACAGAACTATTCTCAAGGGAGGTGGATGGTTTAGTGTAGCTTTTTGCTGCCACAGTACCATGTACAGAGAGTTTGCAAATCAGACCTTAGGTAGGATCTATAAGCCAGGACTGAAGATGTATCTGGAAGGTGGCATGGGGAAAGGCCCACTGCATCCTTTGTCCAGGCCTGACACAACACTGTTGTTGGGCGGGGTTGGGGATGGGGGATTGCAGCATCTACATCTTGAATCCAGTGGTCTTTTTCTTTAGAAAGTACCTGAATGTCTAAATAAACAGGATTGTTCCAGAAAGGTGTGCTGGTCTGATTGGAGGCTGTCTCTTGTCCCTCAGGAAATGCTCTCTGGTGTGGTGGTCATCTCTAGCAGGGACTCTGTCCAGCACCAGGGAGTCTCTTTGACAATGGAAGGGACTGTAAACCTCCAGCTCAGTGCCAAAAGTGTGGGTGTATTTGAAGCCTTTTACAACTCTGTGAAGGTAAGAGCCAGCATAGCTCTCTGTGGAGCTTTGCACTCGCCCTGTGCCTTGTTAGCTGTCTTTACTTTCATGGTCTTCACGATTTCAGTTCTTAGAGAGTGAACATTTGTGTTGCTTCTGTGTCCTGCTAGCAGATATTTGCATGTGTAATATCCCTGGCTGATGCTGGGATTAGAAGCTTGTATTGCCTTGAGTCATCCAAGAGGGCTTCTGTGAGAAATGCTTGTGGCTTGTGGTCCTTGCCTTGCTTTATCAGACTTTTTGCTAACTGTGTACACTGCTCCTGTTGAACTTCACGTAGAGGTAAGACACATTTGGAGCAAGGAGCTCTTTTATTATGTTTTTGTTATTTTGGATAGAGTTCATATTTTAGAAAGTTCTCCAAATTTAGAAAAGTTCTGCAAATCGTTTCCCTGAAGGCCATGTGAACTTTGTCTGAGGAACCCTGTGAGAAAGAGAACATGAACTTGTTAGGTTTAGTAGTGTCCTATGTTTCTGTATCTTTATAATTTTAATCCATAGGAACTTTCTTGGGATGATGTTATACCAAAGATGTCAAAGCATGAAAGAATCTGGCTGTGGTGGTGCATGCTGTAGTCCCAGTACTCTGGAGGCTGAGGCAGAGGGCATGAAAATCAGGACTTGGAGGCCAGTCTGAACTCTGCAGGGAGACTGTATCTCAAAATAAAATAGGGAACATAAAAATTGGACTGCCTGAGTGGTGGTCCTATTTATTTCTTTGTGGAGCCCACTGAGGAGTCTCTGTGGGCATCTGGAGCTAGAGGAGAGACCTACACTGCCCGCAAGGCTGCAGTGCTGAGGCCCTGGCTGAGGGCTGTGGGAACTGGGGCAGCAATGTTGAGCGATGTCAGGTAAGAAGTAGCTCTGGGCCCTATGTTGGCCAAGGTGGCCAGGCAGCTTCAGTGTTATGTCTGCTTACTTACTATGCATGTAAGGTTGTTAGGACACTTCAGTGAGGTGTTTGAGCAGGAAACAGGCATACATGGGTTCAGTTCCTATTGTGTACAGCACCTCAGTCCCTGATATGTGACAGGACCATTATTGAAACACTGAGATGGGACCTACACAGTACAAGGAGCAAACTGACTTCCACAAGTTGTCCCCTGACTTCCACATGCACACTGGTAGCATGTGTGCATAACACACACACACTAAATGTAGTAAGAAAAAAAATGTAAAGAAATGAACCATTATTGTGCAGACTTAAAAAACAGCAGCGTCAGCTTGCTGTTCTTGTCTAGTTCCAGTACTATGCTGCCGAGACACTTGAGCAGCAGGAGCTTTTGTGTGCTTGCTGCTAGTAGGACTGCAGAGACAGACACAGTGTGCTCTGATGGCTGAAGCTGCTTTGTGTTGACAGCCGATCCAGATTATCAACAGCACCATAGATGTGCTGAAGCCAGGAAAGATTCCCAGTGGCAAGACTGAGGTGCCCTTTGAGTTTCCTCTGCTTGTGAAAGGCAGCAAGGTCCTGTATGAGACTTACCACGGCGTGTTTGTCAACATTCAGGTGAGTTCTAATCCCACAACCTTTCTTTTTCTGCTGAAAACCAGCTTGGTTATTTTTTTCTCACTGAAATAACTGAACTCAAATCTACTAATGGATTGATTCCAAGACTGTTCATACGTGTGCTGTATTGTTTTCTCATTTGTCCTATAACTGCTTTTTGTGTATGACTATTATTGTTTTTGCAGAGCTAGAGATTAAACCCTGGGCCTCACACATGCTGTGATATAAAGTCACACTCTGGGCCCCTGTGACCCTTGTGTTGAGTTCGAACCATGGCTGTAGTTTCTTCCTTAGGGTTCTTTTGTGCCATTGCATTTTTCTCAGGCCACAGTGACACCATTAGGGTCTTCAGCCTCCTTCTGACACCAGCACTAACTAGTCTGTTTTATTCTTATGAGTATCTCTTTGTGGAATATCCAAAGGCTGTCCATTCAACATAGGCTGTATTCTTTATTGAGCAAACCTTGTAAATGAGGGGAAGTGTATTTATGACTTCCCGTCTACCTCTGCTGGTGAGGAATGGCTTTCACAGTTGCTATTGTCTCAGGAGCAGAGCCCAGTCATGACTCAGCCAAAGGAAGAGGCCCCTTCCTTCATTCAGTGCAGAGAAAGGTACTTTTGTATAGTTTGCCATGGGGCAGCTCCCTTGCTAACTGAGAAAACCCTGCAGTCTGAGGATGCACAGAAAGTCAGGAATTGGAAAGTTGTTAGATTTGTTAATTAAGTTTCAGTTGATCAGCCGGGCGGTGGTGGCGCACGCCTTTAATCCCAGCACTTGGGAGGCAGAGGCAGGCGGATTTCTGAGTTCGAGGCCAGCCTGGTCTACAGAGTGAGTTCCAGGACAGCCAGGGCTATACAGAGAAACCCTGTCTCGAAAAAAAAAAAAAAAAAAAAAAAAAAAAAAAAAAAGTTTCAGTTGATCACATTTCACTTCGTAAATACCACTCATTTGCTTAAAATGTAGCACGTTTAAAAAAGTCTCAAACATTTGGGAGGACTAATAAAGGTTTAGTCTTACATGAATTTCCCCAACTGCTAGAAAATCTGTCAGGGTGAAGCACATAGAGTGTGTACTCTATTGAAGAGGCTGCCTTCCCATGAAGAAAATGTTGTCAGTGAAGACTGTGTGTGGCTCTTGAAGAGACCCAAGTTTAGTTCCTGGCGCCCACATAGAGCTGCTTACAACTGCTTGGAACTCAAGCTCCAGAGAGCTCTGATGCCTCAGTTTTCTGTGCCGTGTGTATGTGTGTGTGTGTGTGTCTGTGTGTCTGTGTCTGTGTAAAATATGGATGCTTCCTCTAGGCCTGAGTTCTGTCTCTAAGACTTGCATGGTGGAAGGAAGAACTTACTCCCTAAGTTGTCCTCTGACTTCTGCATGTGAACTATGGTACACGTTATGTTACCCTACACACAAACAAGGCAAGCTTATTGGGATAAGATAGATTTTCTGGTCATAGTCTCTTTTGTTTATTGTCACTTAAGTGAAGAAACTGATTTACTTTATTGATTTCCAGTTAAGTTGGAAGTCTCCTCCTTTTCCAGATGCTGCTAAGAGTACGACTGCAGGGTATGTGCATGACTGTGTAGACTGTGTCTATGCTGGGACTCCTAGTCATGAGAGTGTCCATGTGGGAGTACTTCTCTAGAGGAGTTAATGATACCCGTACCCAACTTTTTCCTTGGTCATCAGATTTTACCACTTTAGGATTAACCTCAGCTACAACATGGATCTGTATACAGCCCCTAATATCTCAACGTTTTGTAAAGATGTAATTTCTTCTTAGCTGAACCTCGGGTTTATATGGGCTCATCACCACTCCATGGGTTAGTCTCTTCCTTTGTTGCACTGTAGTGGAAACCCAGTTGATCACATGTGAGACGTGTGATTCGTCTCCGAGCTGCATCCCCAGCCCTGCCATCCTTTGTCGTCTGTGTTGACTTTCTGAGTCATTTCAAAGTTAGCTGCAGAGCCTGCATGCATTTCATGTCTTACCACTTTAGTATCCACTTCCACAAACCCAGAGATCTATCATACAGAGCCGTAGTTAACCATCTTTATCAAAATTAACATAAATCCTCAAATAATTTCTAGTTCATATGCAAATGTATCATTTTTTCTCTTGAGCAAATATACTTAATAAAAACTAGGATTATGGCTTTTTGCTCTATTTTATCCATCCATTCCCCCTTTATTTGACAGGTCTGTTCCTGGTCTCCTTACTTGTCAGTAAGCAAGTGTCATCCAGAGAGGATAGTGATTTTCTATGACCCATGACTTCTCAGCATAGGGGGTCCCAAAGTGCATTTATGGCACCCATTTCTTGCCATTCCTTCTCTGAATATCACATTAATGTCCATAGGTACATTACTCAGAATACAAGCTTTGTTGTTAAACTCTAATACATCCTCAAATTATATAGACAAAAGGAACTTTTTCTTGTACAATTGGGGTTGTATTATAATAACATAATGTAAAAAATCATGAGACAAAATAAAGAGTTTACAATGTTACCTGCATTAAATTTCTGACTTACAAAAGCTTGGCTTGCTTGTTATTTCTTCCTGAGTTCTGCTCTTGTGGCCATACTGGCAAGATTTTATATTATGGTACAGATGAATAGCAGTATTACCGTGTCTGCTAAAATCACATATGCAAAGTTATTTTTTAAAAGTTCTAGTCACGCTTTCTACAGTTAAAAATACTCATACGTGTATGTATGTTTTGCAGAGATGATTCAGTGGTTAAAAGCACTTACTGCTCTTGCAGAGGACCAGAGTTCAGCTCCTAGCACTTATAGTGGGCAGCTCACAGCTACCTATAACTTTGGCTCCACTCCTCTGGCCTCTATGAGCTTCCTTCACATACATATATCCACATAGACACCCACATACCAACACATAATTTTAAACCTTAAAAAAAAAATCCAACCTTGTACTTTCTGTCCTTCTGACGCCCTCTGACCTCCTCCTGAGCTCACCCCACATGGGTCATTCCACAGGACCTGGGAAAGTTAGTTACAAAGTAAGAAGATCCAAGGTTTTACAACAGGCAGAGCTGGGCTTCAGTTATTGTCCAACCAGCACACTGTATTAAGGATTTGGTTTAGGTTTTGTCAGTAGGCAGGTGTCAGTTTATATCCCACCTCTGTGCTCCCACCCCCCAGCCTTGCTCACCTTGTTGCTAGAAGATTAGTAAGAGAATGACATGAAGAGCTAGACACAGGCCTGTCACACAGAATGTTCTGTGTGATGAACACGAGTTGATGATTATCATTATGGTAGGTAGCCTTGTACAGCCTTGGCTGGCCTGAAACTCACTATGTAGACCAGGCTAGCCTTGAATTCACAGAGCTCCACTTGTATCTACTTCCCAAGTGCTGGAGTTACAGGCAAGCACCAGTAACAACTCTTTCAAAAAATGTTTGCCTGCATGTGTGTCTGGGCACCGTGTGCATGGACTGTCTGTGGAGGCCAGAATCGGGTGTCAGATTCCCTGGAACTGGAGTTAAATAAAGATGGTTTTAATCTACCATGTGGGTACTGGGAATCAAACCCAGGTTCCTTTCCAAGAACAGCAAGTGCTTTTTACCACTGAGCTGTCTCTCCAGCCTGATTATAAGTTAGGTGAAACAGTGGATTAGAGAGAACTTGACTCCCTCTAGAACACAGCATAGGAGTTTGTCTCTTTGTCTCACCCTGCTGCCTTCCCAGCAGATCCCATGATCCATTCATTTACAAATTATTGGCCTCACACTTTGTATAGTGGCTGAAGTGGGTGCCTATGACTCATCTCCTTCCTTTCAGAAATTGTAGAGTGAACTCAGATTGTATCATGGAACCAGAAATTCCAGGCCAGTGTTGGCTAGATTGGAGATCAGAGGCCAGGGCCCCAGAATATTTGAGCCTGGCTTTCCGGTACACTCACTGGCTTTGTCCTCAGGAAGTTATCTCCATTGTCAGAGCAAAGCTGGCTATCACTGGGCAAGTGCAGCTTCCATCTTCTAGGCCCAAGACTCAGTGAAAGATAATTCTTTCTTCAGTCCCTAAAATAGTTCTGGCTTTACCTAGCACTTCTCAGTAGATAGGTGGTAGAGGCCAGACCAGGAAAAGAATCAGACTAGGTAAGCTAGAGAGAGGATGGCTTACTTCACTGCATATGATGTCCGGGAGGTGGGCAGTGCCCCAACATGGATACACACACACACACACACACACACACACACACACACACAGAGAGAGAGAGAGAGAGAGAGAGAGAGAGAGAGAGAGAGAGAGAGAGAGAGAGACAGAGAGACAGAGAGGGGGGGGTCCTCACTGAAGTTGTCTGGTGTGGGGAGAACAGATTGTAGTCTCACTAGAGAATATATATGTTGCAAATACACATACATAAATTTTAAGGTTCTTTCAGGCAAGAGATGATTCTTATAAAAATGTTTTATCTTCCTGTACTATCTCAGATATAGAGGAACTTATTTCATGTGGAAAGGTTGCTCTTAAGAGTATAGCTTCTTACAAGATTCATAGCTGTGCATGCAGTACTAGGTAAAAAAATTATTTCTGAGCCAGGCAGTGGTGGTGCACACCTTTAATCCCAGCACTTGGGAGACAGAGGCAGGTGGATTTCTGAGTTCGAGGCCAGCCTGGTCTACAGAGTGAGTTCCAGGACAGCCAGGACTATACAGAGAAACCGTATCTTGAGAAACCAAAAAAAAAAAAAAAAAAAAAAAATTATTTCTGACACAATTTAAAAGTTTTTCCTATGTGGTTAAAGCAACAGGTAAGTTGCTTAAACAGGAATTATGTGAGGGTCTGGGGTGTTATTTATGATGCTGAGAATGGAACCCAGAATCACACACATCTTAACAAGTGCCACTTGGCCATACCCCAACTGCCTGATATTTTTTTCTAAAGGCTAGCACTGGGGTCAGTTTCTGAGCGTCCTCAGCTCATGGCCAGGCATTTGAGGCCACAGTTCTTATGCCACTCCCAAGGAGGCTACACTACAGAGCCTCTCAGAAGGGCAGCTCGTCCCTCACATCGGGAGCTCCATGGTGACAAGCTCAGAAAAACCACACACAGTCCAGAAAGTGAACAAGCCAAGTGTAAAGCTAGTGTTTCCTGTGTCCCCCTCTCTCTGCCCTTCAGCTTCTGTCCTAACCTCTCCACACCCTGGTTGTGGAAACAGCTGTGTATGTTTTGTTTAGAAATGCCCTTAAATTGCACATTACTTTTTCTTGTGTGTGTTGACTGCATGAAACACATCAATTGGCCAAACGGACCTTAAAATATGTTGACTGCTTGTTGCTTTCGGATGTTGTGTCTAGTTACGAACTAAAGCTACTGAAATGACATTTGTCTCCTGCTTCTCTAGTACACACTGCGCTGTGACATGCGGCGATCCCTCTTGGCCAAGGACCTGACCAAGACCTGTGAATTCATCGTTCACTCTGCTGTAAGCCTCACCTCGGGCCCTGGGCTCCTGTGAGGTGTGGGATAGCTCCTGTTCCCCAGCACATAAGGGGGATCTGGAAGGAGACATGAGGCCCCAGCTGAGCATCAGCACAGGCACTGTCTCTACAGCTCAGTGATGCCACCTTCAGAGGCTGTGCCTCACTATAGGGAGTCCCCACCTCACAAGAGCAGTAAGCGTACCGTTCCATCTCTGCAAACGAGAGACTCATCTTGACCCTCAAGGTTGCTGCAGCAAATACACTATAGAGAAATTGCTCTCATCCTTGGCACTCAGTGTCCCGTGAGAACACATGAGATGCTCAGGCTTGTGTCTGTCCGATCTGCACCTTTTTTGCCTTTCCAGGCTAGCTTGGGTAGTTGGTCCCTTGCCACCACTGCTGCAGCCACTTGGTGGGGGTTCATAGCAAGTCCTCCATAGCCTACATGATCACATAGAATCAACTGTGACAGCACCTTCCCCTTGGTGTAACGTGGTGACAGATACATCCCAGTGCACTCTCATGGAGGCAGCTGCACATCGCCTTTTGCCTCTTGCTAGCACCACTCTTAGCCCAGCAGTGGCCAGTCTGTCTCCTTCCTGCTGTTCCCTCCATCAGACTGCTGTGCCTAAGGAGTTCCAGGACTGAGTTAGAGTACTTGTGAGGGACCATGGAAGAACCCTTGGCTGGAGAGCTGCCTGGGATAGCACCAGAAGTACCTCAGGAACTTGTTCTAAGGCCTTCAGGAAGCTGAAAAGGCCTGCTCCATAACCTGTCAGGGAGCAGTGAGGAGCAGGGCAGGGGTTGAATGCCCATGTTATATCATGAGCAGTTCTGACCAGCTACTCAGTATGTTATCACCATCAGTGCTGGACAGAGGCCACCAGACCCCAGCACTGCACTCAGCACCCAGTCTTTCCAGCTGCTTTTCCATGCTGCTGTTCATTTCACTTGGGAGGGAAAAGCTGTTCCACCCATGGTCCTTGCCCTGCTCACTGTGGTTTTCCCTCCATTTCAGCCTCAGAAGGGGAAGTTGACCCCAAGTCCTGTTGACTTCACAATCACCCCGGAAACCTTGCAGAATGTCAAAGAGGTACTTGTCTCTCAATCACACTTATGTGTTACGGCTTTCCTGGTAACTTGACCCAGTGACCAACTACTGCCCAGTTCTTCAGTCGAGAATTGTCAGGGGCAGAGGTTTCCGATGGTGTTTGTACCTAAGGGCAGTTTTCAAATTGATTTCAAGTTCAGCTCACTAATTACTTAGAAAACAAAAGACTGTACTTTTCAGAATCCCTCCCATACCCATGTTCTGTTTTCATGCAATGATGATGTCTTGCTGTACTGCTCAGACTGGCCTTCTCCAGCCATCAACTCCAACTGCAGGTCTGCACCTGGCTCGTGTGCTCAACTGCACGTGTGTCCTGAGCTCCACTCCCACTGCCCCGTGCCTGCTCCGTCATTCCCTTAGTAGTCATGGTTGGCACTGGGCCTGGCCTCTCACTGGCATGCCTTTCAGACCCAGAACTGTTCATGGCGGTGGACAGCAAAGACCTAAGTGTCAGGCAGCACCAGCAGATTTTCCTGCGTGAGAACCAAGGATGCTTGGCTCTTGCTGGCAGCTCCCCTGGGCCTCTGTAACAGGCAGTTGGTTGCTTTGGCCTAGCCCACCATTGTAGCAGGCTTCCTGGGTTAGCACTCTGATCCACTACCAGACAATTTCTCCAGTTTTTGTTTTTTAGTAAATGATTCTGTGTCGGAGCAAGCAGTATTGTTTTGTCTATAGCTCTTTCCTGGATAGAACCTGGATTCTTTACTCAATTCTGCATTTTGCTCATGCTCATAACTGGGTTGAAGGCAAGTCTGGGAGATTTGAGGCACTGCAGTCAGAGCTGATGTCATTCTTTATCATAGGGAGCCTTTTCAGAAGGTTCTAGAAGGAAGTAGTCATCATTTCCTAGGGCCAGGCAGATTCTTTCCCCTGTGAAGCACTTTCTCCAGACCTGTGTCCCCCCAAGTCCTCTTCTGCTGCAGACACTGCTCCCTGACCCATGCCTCACATGTCCCTCCTTACAGGGACATGGCCCATATGTGGGACAGAGTCCTCTTTCCCTTGCTTCTATCTTCTTCAAATATTGGTTCTTGGTGTATACTTGAGGATTTTCGTGTAGATTTATTAATAAAACTATCCTCTACCAGCCTTTGAGACAGTCTCATGTATTCAGATGGGCCTTCAGTTATTTAGTTGAAGGTGACTTTGAACTTCTGATCTTCCTGCCTCCACTTCTTGTGTGGTAAGATGGCACATGTGTACTCCCATGCCTGGCTAGTGTGATGCTAGAAATTGAAGCCAGAGCTCCTCTCGTGCCAAGCACCCACTCTTTTCCATGAGCCCTGTTACTCTTGTTTCTCATACTGACTATTTGCAGAAGTGATGACATCTTAGATATATTGTTGATAGTTTTTAATTTGGTTACCAGAAAATTTTAAATTATACACATAGGCAATTACAAATTCTAAATAATTTTAAATTTGTGGCTTATGTTGTTTCTTCTGGATAGTGCGACATAATGGAGATGAAGACTTCTGAAATGACTGTCCAACTATTTTCCTTCAGTGCTAGGGCCAGTTCCCCTCAGCCAACTTCCTGTCTACAGAGAATCAGTCCCAGAGCTTTTCATCGGGCATTGAGAAAAACCGTTCTTTCAGTATCCTTGAAATGAAAATAATTGGCTTCACAAACTTGCCTAATTGGGTACACTTTAAAACTACCTTTTTCTATTTTCTTAAATTTTTTTCTTTTGTGACCTGGGATTGAGGGGGTGGTTGTCCTTAAACACCCTTCTCAACTCTGAGGCTTTTTACATTTTATATCTTTTTGCCTGAAAGCTTTTCAGTCAGTGTAGGCAGGACGCTGATGCTGAGTGAGCTGGGCATGTCCCTTATGTGTGTATAGGGTGGTTGATGAGTCAGTCTGGTGTCCACTGAAAGATAAAATTGCTATGATTCCTTCTTGTTTTTGGAAAACAGTTTCCATGGTTTATAGAACAATTACTCAACTTGGTTTTCAGTTCTTATTTGCACCAGTGCAACTGGAATAAAAAGTGACAGCCATTTCTGTCCTTCTGTTCCTGATGTCTTTGTCTCTATTCTCCATAGAGGGGCTCACTTCCCAAATTCTTCATTAGAGGACATCTGAACTCCACTAACTGTGCTATCACGCAGCCCCTGACAGGAGAGCTGGTGGTAGAACACTCAGATGCTGCTATCCGGAGCATAGAGCTTCAGCTGGTCCGGGTGGAGACCTGTGGTAAGGTGCTAGAGCATCTAGTTGTCTGCACTTGCACTGTCAGCTACTGAGACATCCCTTCCTGTACTCTTAACATGGCAAAGGACATCACATCATAACAGAGCAGTTGTGCCAGAGACCTCATTATTGTAACAGAGCTATTCTCATGCCCCTGTGGCCTGCTCACCCCAAAATTCCCACTTGCAGATAATCACTGAAATACTAATTAGGTCGCCAGCACCTCAAGTCTTGCAAGCATTGTAAAACCAGTGTGGTGATGTTTGGGGACATGCAAAGTAGAAGAGAAGGTAACTCCCAGTGCTGAAGAAGAAATTGGAGAAGTGGGTGAATGTGTTGATCCTGGTTGGCACAGTATTGGACACTTTGGTGAACAGTTTGCTTTGGTGACATGATGTTCTGACCCCATGATGTTTCCTCTTTCTCCAGGGTGTGCAGAAGGCTATGCGAGAGATGCTACAGAGATTCAGAACATTCAAATCGCTGATGGGGACATTTGTAGGAATCTTTCTGTCCCCCTGTACATGGTCTTCCCCAGACTGTTCACCTGTCCAACACTAGAGACCACCAACTTCAAAGTGGGTAAGCAGTCCAGGCCTGGCCTGTGGAGTCTGGGAAGAGTATGCTCCCCCACACCCCCTGGGAAGCAGCACCTTGTACACAGGGCTGCAGTCATCACAGTCCACAGCATTCAGCTTCTTGATGACTCAAAAAAAAAGAAAAAGAAGAAGAAGCAGCAGCGCTTGCAGGAAGTAGAGGTTCCTGCAAGGCCCCATCCAGAGTCCACTGTGAGCCAAGCAAAAATACCATGAGTCTATAGGAAAAGCCTTGACAGTTGTTAAATAAGTACTATGTGACTAAATATCCAACAGGAAATGACCTAAAGGAAGGCGGGCTTATTGTGGGTCACACTCTGGGACTTCTAGTTCGTTGTGGTGGAAGAGCCATGTCTGTAGGAGGCTGCTGGCTCACATCTGGGTAGACCAGGTGTCAGAGAAATGCTGCTCTCAGGTTTGCTGTCTTGATTTTTCTTTTTATTCCCCATGGATGGTGCCACCCACATTTAAGGCAAGCCTTCCTTCCTCAGTTAAACATCTCTAGAAATTCCCCTGAAGATACACCCAGAGGTGTGTCTCTTACAAGATTCCAAATCTAGTTAAGGTGAGATAGACTAACCACCAGTCCACTCTTAACATCCTGACTCCAAAACACATCATGGTTTTACAATTGCATCCCTTTCAACTTTAAAAGTCCCATGATCACCGAGCAGTGGTGGCACATGCCTTTAATCCCAGCACTAGGGAGGCAGAGGCAGGTGGATTTCTGAGTTCGGGCCAGTCTGGTATACATAGAGTGAGTTCCAGGACAGCCAGGGCTACACAGAGAAACCCTGTCTCGAAAAACAAAACAAAACAAAACAAAACAAAACAAAACAAAACAAAAAAAGTCCCATGATCTTAACAAGTTTAACACTGGTCTAAAGACTAGAGTTTCTCTGAGTCCCAACTGTGAGCCCTTATACAGGCCTGTAGTATACTTTCAGCATAGGCATAGAATAAACATTCTCATTCAGAGAGGGAGCAGCAACAGGGCCAAAGCAAAGAAAAACTGAACCAACGCAGTACTAAACTTAGCAGGTCAGATTCCTCATCTTTTGTCGCCATGTCCAGGACCTGGGCTCCAGTAGCTTTGGGTAGTCCCAGCCATCCAGTTCTAGTGCATGCAGCAAATGTAAATCGCTATCTTTGACCAACTTTCTTGCCTGCTGCTTTTCCTTGGCAGATCTCTTATTCCTTGCATCTCCAGCATTCTGGAGCTTTCCTATTACAACTCTGAGTAGAACTCTGCAGCTTTACACAGTACCTGCAGGGAACCTGGCCCTGCCATGCACTGCCTGACCCCAGAGGATTTCTGAAACACTTGTACAAATGTCTGAATCACTACAACCCTAGCTATGACCACTATATATATATATGTACACTCTACCCCTTGCTCTACCACAGATCTGGTAGCCTCTATGTGCCTTGGTGACTGAACCTGGAAAACTACTTCTCCATGTTTCGTTTTGTTTTGAATTGTGTGTATAGGTCTATGTGTACCCTAAAGCCCTACTCAGAGCTGAGTTTCTGTAGTGTGGTACCAGGAACTTCTTTCCCGCACTGGAAAAAATAAGAACAGTGCTCTTTTTTTTTTTTTGAGTGTTTTCCTCTTTACATACGTCCCCTGGGTTTTGATCTTTACCCATAAAAACTTAAAAAAAAAAAAACCTCAAAACAAAAAACAAAAAAAAACAGAACAAAATAAACAGGAAATCTTGTCTACAGGAATATAAAACAAATAGCTGATTTCCAAGTGAACAAGAGTTGAACCAACTGTGTGCTGTTTTCCTTTGTTAAATAACAAACCCACCAAGGTCTTGCTCTGTAGCCTAGACCAGACTGGAACTGACCATGTAGCTCAGACTGGCTATAGGCTCATTACCTTCCTCCTGCCTCAGCTTCTCAGGTGCTGAAATTATAGGTGTGGGCTACTCTGCCTGGCTTAAACCATATGCTATTCGTAAAGAATGTGTCTTATTTGGAAATTGCCAGCTGTAGCACAGTTCAGAGCTTAGTACTCTTTAACAAACTACAGGAAATGCAAAAATACAGTAGAGACTATAAGTATTTGAAAGGACTTTAGAATTTTCTGTGTATGTGTCTCTCTGTCCCTGTGTGTCTGTGTCTGTCTGTCTGTCTGTCTCTCTTTTTATGAGACAGGGTTTCTCTGTGTAGCCCTGGCTGTCCTGGAAGTCTCTGTAGAGCAAGCTGGCCTCTAACTCAAAGATCCGTCTGCCTCTGCCTCCCGAGAGCTGGAGTTAAATGTGTGTGCCACCATCACCTGGTTCTAGAATTCTCATTAGAAAGTGGAAAGTACTGTTGAGTAATTGTGCAGTACTCCCTTTGACTTAGTGCTCTAGCCAATAAGACAGAGTTGGAGAAGCTAATAGTGCAGTCATCAGTATGGAGACCTCACTGGTCCTACAGAACGTGCAGGGAGACACTGCCTGGGACAGAAGTACAGAATCCCAAGCAGCACCTGGCCACTGGCTCCCTGTTAGACTCTGGTTTCCAGTCCGCAGTGCGAGTGAGCATCTCTTTCTTCCCTGCAGAGTTTGAAGTTAATGTGGTGGTCCTTCTTCATGCTGACCACCTCATCACTGAGAACTTCCCGCTGAAGCTCTGTCGGACATAGTCCAGCTGTAGGAAGGCGACAGCCAGAGTGACCATGTGGACATTGACCTAGTCATCCGCTCACATGGGGACGTCACTCAGGCCACTTGCTCACAGGCATCATGTCAGCAGCATACATCTTCATGATGTCTTCTCATGGCCTCAAAGCTTGTTTCCTGCAGGTGCCTTGCCTCAGCCCTTACATCTGGAATGCAACAGGGTTTCCTCGTGTGTTGCAAGATCACAGAAAACATTGCTGATGGCTCCAGATGTGCCTGTTTCTTCTCAAGTTCATTAAGCAGTGTGTCTGTACTTTAAGATTTGCTGCTTAGTGGGACCATGGAGGCAGAAGAGAACCCCTCTCCATCTTGCCCAGACTCCTGACAGCTAAGAGTCAACAGCCAGCAAGCTCTTTGATCGAATCTGTGATCCCCTTCAAGGAGTATCAGTGACTTCATTTGGAAATACAGAACTTTTCCCTTCTTGACATCTTAATAATGTTGCACTAGAACTTCTAAATTTTTTAGGGAACTGGAAAAAAACCAACAAATAGATTTTGTTCTCACAGAGAGAGTGGTGAACGGAGGCTGTCTCTGGAGTGTTTGCAGTGTGTAGTACTGGCACACACAGTGAATGCTGCCATACTCCCAGAGTGTATTGAAAGGCAAGGGGCTTCCATAAGGGGAAGAATGCACAGTGGCTACTGCTTAGCAGGTAGGTTCTGAGTGACAGGACACCACACTGAGAAGGATGATGGTCTTGGCCTGTCCCTGACCCCCTGGGGCACATGTGCTTTGACCAGGGATTTTGGCCTGAAGTCTGTTTTCCTTTAGCCTCACACTGTAACTCACACTGCGTGGAGAGTATGTTGCAATACTTTTCTTCCTTCAAGTCTCGCTGTTGTTCTGTTGGTCCACAGTTAATGAACACTCTGCATACCAGCTGGCCTGCCTTCACAGCTTCTTGGGGACAGGCCTAGGCAAAGCAGGCCCGGACTGACAGCCTCCTGGCCGCACTCCACTGTTCTTAACAGCTAAGGGGAACTGGGGCACTGCTACTAGGGCCTCACCAGGGAAACTAAGAAGACTTAGCTGAGTCACCTGACAGTGGGTTCCTAGAGAATGTATTTTTGCTTTGTCATACTCATCCTTGATATATTTAAACAATTTAATACCCAAAAATGTGGGCCATACTTTCTAGTAAGTCTGTAAGGAAAAGTCTTCTTTGATTACATAATTTTTTTAAATGAATAAAGAAAGCTAAACAATTTTTAAAATGGTTTGGACTGCATATTGTTATGTAATCTCTTTAGTAAACTTTTAGATCTGTGATGAGTGTGCTCAGTAGTGTCATCTCAAGTGCCACAGCTGCCCTGCTACAGTTGCATTCAATCATGAGCAGTCCAGCTATAGGCCTCAGGCTGGCCATTGTTGACCCAAGTCACCATCATGTTACTAAGCAAACCTGACATGTTTGGCTGACTTGGACAGCAGCTTGCTGGCTAGAGGTAGGGTGTCCAGGGTTCAGGGTTACCAGATCCTCCAGTTAGACCAAGAGTCCTTTTAGGGATGAAGTGACTGTCTAAATGAATAGCAAGTCCAAGTTAAACCACACACTGGTTCTGACTTCCTTTGGGTACAATGAAAATATTGGGGTATAGTAGACCCTCCAGAACACCAACATGCTTTAGTCTTAGCAGCTTTCTGACAGGAGTTTTAGATTCCTGCTTCACAGCTATGCAAGAAACAGTGACTTGCTCAGGCCACAGCTCGTGTTGAGACCAATATTGCCCCAGCCAAGAATTACAGTATGTAGTCATTGCTACAGTGAGAATGTAGCTCTGCTTGTGGGAATGTTATGAGTACATCATGAATGGCAGCTGCTGGAGCCACTGTATGTAATTCCCAGTTGGTTTTCAAAAAGACAGTAAATTTTCATGCAAGACAGTCTGTTTCATAGTAAAATATATCGAAGTTCACCTCCTTTGTAATTCTGAGTAACGATGAAAATGACCAAGCAGGACAGTCATCTATCCTTTGAAGACAGGGCCTTTTCAGTCCGAGTGTTCTGTGGTCCCAGTTGCCTGTCAGAGCTAACCAAGGTAGTAGGAGATGGTGTGTGGGTGTGAGACATAGAGGTTCAAACCTTCCGAGTCAGTATCCTCTCTACCCATCAGAGCAGCTGCAGTGCTCACTGAGAAACAGGGAGGCCACTGTGTGGAAGGAAGCAAAGCTGTTGATGGCAGTCACACAGATGCAGCCAGATGATAGCATCCTTCTACACAGAAAGAGAAGGAGAGCAGGACTTAGAGCCAGGGAGAGCTCCTGGTGCTGTCACCTCACAGCAGTGCTGAGGTGCCCACGTCTGTCAGCAGGCTTCTGACAGTGGTGGTTTTCATCCCAAACCCAGCTAGTCCTAATCCCTTGCATATAACATACAAAAACAAACAATCCAGATTGGTCCAATCTGGTAAAGTACAAATACAGTTTGTACCTGTGTCTGCAGGATGTTGTATGATTCTGGCAAGCACCTCCTTGGCCACTGAGTCACTTGTGATCTACAGCAGCTGTCATTCTCTAGGATGTTATGTTTGGTCCTTTAATCAGCATCTTGCTGAATTGCAGGCTACAGGCAAAGGCCTCTGGAGAAAGCAGACATGACTTCTAATGGAAAGACCACAGCAAATGCCCATCAGATAGGAAGTGGTGACTTCGTTCCTCAGGAGTCATTTCCTCTCACCTGGGTCAAAGACTAGACCCTAACCTTAGTCTTCAAGTACAAGATGGCATTCAGAACAGCACTGAGACCTTGTTTGCAGCTGTCTCCTGAAAGAAAGATCAAGACTCCAGTAGTTTCTTAGTCTGTGAGATTGAATGTCTCCACAGGCCCGATCTCCAGCTGGACTGCAAGATTCCAAGATGACTGCTGGTCTTATATCTGTTGCAATCTTGAAGAAGTAGGCTCTAATACCACAGAAGGGATTTCTCATCAACAGGACAGATGGACATGCAAAGGAGAGTGAGGGCTAACAGGGAAAAAGCAAAAGCTTCCTTCTTCCATGTTCTTCTATGTGTGATGCCACCAGAAGATGTGGCCCAGACTGAGGATTGGTCTTCCCACCTGGAATGATGCAATCAGGAAATCCCTGCACTGACTTCCCAGATGCTTGGTTTTCAATTGATTCCTGATAGTGTAGAGTTAACTAAGATTACCTACATAATTATTACCTCAGAGACATAGATCACTTAGTTATCTTGATACAGAAAAAGCCTTTAACATAGTTCAATATCCATTTTTGATAAAATTCACAAAAAAACCCTAGGCATAGTAGGAGCATTTCTCAGTGCTGGAAGACTGTTTCAGAGCAAAGGCACAGTATACTAACTAGGGAAAGATGAGAAACATTTCTTCTGAAGCCAGGAACAGAAGACTTCCTCAATATGATGCTTGAGTCTTAGCTAGGGCAGCTAAGGCAGCAGGGCAGGAGGAAGAAACAGGAGGGAGGGCCTTAGATAGGAAGCAGAGGCCCATCCATTCCTATTTCCAGTGGACATGATAGCACATTGTACATACCCTGGATTCTACCAGAATACTCTGATAGCAGGTAAATCTGCAAGCAAACAGAATACAAATCAGCACATGAGCATGCTGAGAAAAGCAGCAGAGAAATCATCCGACTCAGAATAGCTTGAAAAATAGAGTAATAGGAATAAACAACCACAGAAGTTCAAAGACCTCTACAAGAAAAGATTTAGATACTACAGAAATAAATTCAAGAAGACATTAGAGACAGAGACATCTTGTGCTCCTGGATTGGTGAATTAATACTGTGAAAGTGGTCTCATCACTGAAAGTGACCCACAGAGGCAGTGCAAGCCCCTCAAAAGTCTCATGGTATCTTTCACAGAGTTAGAAAAATAATCCTGACACTCACCTAGAAGCACAAAAGTCTCCGAATAAACAACACAATCCTGGGTGGAAAAGAGCGACACTGGGCTATCACAGGACCTCATTTCACAACGCTAGAGCCACAGTGACAGAAACAGCATGGCACTGTCACCAGGCGTACCATACTCCCATGGAGTGCAACTGATGGTCAGGAGATAGACCAAGCAGATAAAACTAACTGTTCTTTTAAACAAAAGTACCTGACAACAAGTTGGAGAAACGGCAGGTCTTCTGCTCCAAGTGCTGCCCAGAACATGGGTGTCTGCATGAGGAGGATGAAACCGAGTTCCTTCTGTCACTGTGTGCAGTAGTTAGTACAAAAGAACCAGACCTTAAGTTAATGCCAAAACCTTTGAAAAACACTACAAGAGGGCCTGGAAAGATGGCCAGGGCTAGGAGCTTGTTGCTCTTTGACCTGGATTGGGTTCTCAGAGCTGACATGGCAGCTCACAACATTCACAATTCTAGTTCCGGGGGAACCGATGCCTCCTTTGGCCTCTGTGGATACTGCACGCACGTGGTGCACTTACGTAAACATGCAGACAAGGCATCTGCACATAAAAACAAAGCCAGGTTTCTTCCTTGATTTCCGACCCTGGCCTCTCTGATAGTGGACTGTGACCTGGAGTCGTCTCTTGACATAAGCTCTTTTCTCCTCAAGTTGCTTTTTGGTTGTGGTGTATTGCAGCAATAGAGACCGTCACTGAGACAACATGTAACATGTGGGCAGTCTCTAGAATATATAAAAAACTTACTAAATTAAACCACTAACAATCCTGCTTAAAATTACAAATGAGTAGTTCTCCAATGATGAAGTACTAGTAAATACTATGCGAATACATTCAGCATCCCCAGCCAGCAGGGGATGGGAGTCAAAGCTATACTAGCCTCCATCTACACCTCCCACTGCCCAGGATGGTATAGAGAGGAACGCATACTCACTGTTGGCCGTGATACAAACTACTGCCACCACTGTGGACATCAGCATGGAGGTCCTTAAGAAAACTACAAACAGAACCTCATAGGATCCAACCAGACTGCTTCTGAATATTCCGGAAGGACGTAAATCAGCACACTGCAAACACCTACACACCCACGTTTACTGCAGCACTACTCAGAACAATCAAGTTATAAACCCGGTGTCAGTGTCTGAACGGATGAATAAATGAAGAGTATGCAGTGTGTTCACAGTGGCGCTTCACCCACCCGTAAAGGACACAGTCAGGATATTTTAAGAGATCATTATATGAAGCAAAACAGCCAGACTCGGAGATACTACGTTTCCCTCATTCGTGAAATCCATATTAAATGTACTCCATAAGCAGGAAAAGGCTCCACCAAAAGAGGCTTGCCTGGTTTTGGAGGACGCCAGGAGGGAAGTGGGAGGCCAGGGGACTTCTCAGAGGCTTTCTGCAGGCTGGTCTTCCCATGGTGCCATGTCCTCTTACCCCACAGCTCCCTTCTCCACTCTGGCTGTTCTGTTGGCACTGTCTGAAGTGCTGTAGCTTCTGAAAGCCTGACGGTATCTGAACTACCTCACCAGTAACTGGTCAAGGAGCCTGAGGGCCCACGGGTTGCTCTAGTGTGCTTGGTTGGAGGACATGGCCTTTGCAAGGACTCACTGGTGCCTCAGCACTGTGACAGAGTACTCAACAGAGGAAAAGTCCATGAGGCAAAGGTCTGCTTTGGCTCACAGTTTCAGGAAATACTTCATGGTAGAAAGACATGGCACCTGAAGCAGTTTAGTCCGCAACAGCATGGGCTTCAGCATGGCAAGTAGGAAACAGAAGAGCACTGGAGCAGGACTGGTTGGAACCATCAAAGGCACACCCACATTGGCCTACATTCATCTGCTAGGCTCCAAGTCTAGTATTGTCTTAGTCAGGGTTTCTATTCCTGCACAAAACATCAAGAAGCAAGTTGAGGAGGAAAGGGTTTACTCAGCTTACACTTCCACCTTGCTGTTCATCACCAAAGGAAGTCAGGACTGGAACTCAAGCAGGTCAGGAAGCAGGAGCTGATGCAGGGGCCATGGAGGGATGTTACTTACTGGCCTTCTTCCCCTGGCTTACTCAGCTTGAACCCAGGACTACCAGCCCAGGGATGGCACCACCCTCAGTGTACCTTTCCACCCTTGATCACTCACTGAGAAAATGCCTTACAGCTGGATCTCATGGAGGCATCTCCTCAAGGGAGGCTTGTGTCAAGTTGACACACAAAACCAGCCAGTACAAGTATTTATGAAGTCTCCAGAAACTGGTGAGGGGATGGGGGGACAACTATTCAAGCACATGGGACTCTGGACATTTTGCACTTAAACTATAATAGACA